ATCTGGTGGATTTGAACCGTGCGCCTCTGGGATTGCAGTGCAGCTTCTTGCCACTAGGCCACCAGAGCTCCCCTAATATAGAATTTTTTAAAGTAGCTATACACACAATAACATAACAAAGAGTGGGATGTAACAATTATTCTTAAGGAAAATTAGTAATTTGAAATCAGTATTTATAAGGAAGATTATTCATATGAGCACTGTGCTTCTCAAACAATTAGAACATCACTTTATTATACAATGTAGACATTTCATAGGTAAACTCTAATCAACTTCACTGAGTTAGGCAATTAACTCATTGTATTAAACATTACATAAACAAAACACAAGGATAACGGTTATGGCTGCTTTATAGCCTAAAATTTTAAACTTGGGTATCAATTGCTTTCACCTACAAGAAATTTTTCTTTAATGTGATTCTTTTTCTTCTTAGTAATGACTTACTCAAGCTTTGAGACTGGAGTGATCTCTGAGGTAGATGAGCTGGAAATATTTTCAACATTTTCACTGTTCACAACCACACTGGAATCTTCATGTAGATCAATTGTAGGGAGTGTCTCAACCACAGGGGAATTTAACTCTTTTGATTCCTTTTTCTGTTTAAAAAATTTTTTAATAAAGCAAAATATATACACACACATATATATACTGTTAAATTAAATGCTCTGATTAATAAATTATCTCTTTACAGAAAACATTCCCTTACAGAAATTTTGTATAAATACAAGGATGTTTCTTTTCAACTATTATGAGTGCTGTTATTAAGATGGAGTCTGTGGGTGGTACAAATGGGTGACACACTCAAGTCCCTAACCAAAATGTTGGAGGTGCCTCAGAAGAGCAGGTTACTACTTCTAAAAAAATAGCCATTGAAAAATTCACATTCTACTGATACACATGGTAATCCTGCAGTAATATTTGACTTACCAGCAACTTTTTTCATTTTTATTAACAAGACAGAAATTTTAACAATTAAGCAAAATAATACATAGTTCTTACCACTAAGGCATTTGGGAGACAAAAGTATGATTATATTGTTTATTGATACAGTTAGCATTACAAAACAAGATAAAACTCTTCAAATAAATACCCTGAGAAATCCACTCCACCATGTAAAAATCTACCTGATTCCTATTTGAAAATATCTATCTGTATGCTGAGCAAATCATTCGAGGAGCTGGAATTTATGAACAATGTGGCATCCAGGCTGAAGGGAGACTCATCAACAACCTCCATTATAAAGATGACAAAACCTTGTTTGCTCAAGAAAGATCAAAGGCTATATAGCCTTCAATATGATTATACCTCAACATCAAGAAAACAAAATTCTTCACTTCTGGAAGGTCATGACAGATGGAGAAAGGACTAAAATTGCCAACTATTTCCTTACTTGGATGCACAATCAACATCCTTGGTAAATGGCAGTCAGGAGAAGATGTTTAGGACAGGGAAAGTCTCCAAAGAGTCTTAAAGAGTTATGATGTCAGTTTAAAGATGAAGGTGCCTCTGATTCAAGCTATGGTCTTCTCAATTGCTTGCTATGGCATCTGAGAACTGGACAATGAATAAGGATGCAGAAGAACTGATGCCTTTAATTTTTAGTCTTGGAGAAGAATACTGACTATCCCATGGACTGCCAAAGAGCAAAGAGCTATGTCTTAGAGAAGGTGCAACCAGAGTGCGCACTGGAGGCAAGGATGGTGAAGCTTCATCTCACATACTTTGGGTAGGTTGGTAGGAGACGCTATTCCTTGGAAGACATGCAAAGATGGAGAGACATCATGCTTGGGAAGGACATTATGCTTTGGAAAAGCAAAGGAGAGGAAGAACTTTAGCAAAATGGATTAACATGGTGGATGTAGCAATTAGCTCAAGTATGTTTGCTCAAGGATAATAAGGATGGTACAGGACTGAACTGAGTTCAGATCTGTTGTTCACAGGGTCACTGTGAGTCGTGCACAACCCAAAAGCACCCAACAACTACAACAACCCAGCACCTACCAATCAACACATTCTAAGAATTCTTCTTCTTCTTTTACTCTTCCCTATAAAGACTTTTATCCTGGCATTTATAACATCTCAAATGCCTTTTTTATGGTTTTTGTCCCTTCTTCAACAATATTATAAAATACCTTGAGTAAAGACCCAATGTTTTATTAGTTTTCAGTGTCAAAATAGTACCTAATAGGCACTGAAATGCTTATAGAATTAACATAATAGACAGCTACAAAGATCAAAATGCTTGATTTTTATCAAAGATACACACCAGCCAGTGGAATAGAACTAAGAACCCAGAAAAACATCTGTGTCTATAAATGACAGACACAGAGTAATGGAATAAAATTGAGAACCCCCAAATAAATCCATTTATAGAAATTTTTTTTCTGATAAGGGGGCCAATGTCTAGTCAACGGAGATAGCAGCCATACTTCACACCATACCAAAAAAGGAACTAAAAATGAATAAAGGTCTAAATGTTAAAGCTAAAGTTACAAAAGTTCTTGAAAGAAAACATATAGATAAAACTCTAAGACCTAATTTTTCTAAAAATAAATTGTCTAATACAATAAATATGTAAAAAGCAAAAGAGAAATTAGATAACTGGAAACTTTTTAAATACTTCCGCTCATCAAAGGACTATCAAGATTAGTACCTATCTCTTTCTATGTGCTACCTGAGAGACACTGGAAGGCAAGTCAAAAACAGATGCATCAAGCTGAAGAAGCCCCCTCCTTAGGAATGCAGGGAAATAAACCCCAATCATCCCATAGGTCCCTAGGCAGAGCTAGGTTATGACCAGTCTCAGGAGACTAGGAGCTAGTAAAAGCTGTGCCCACCTGAGGCTCTAACTTTCTTTCTGCTGGCAACATACATCTCTGGGTCCACTTTCCCAGGTTGTTTCTCCCCCTTTCCTCTTTCTCTTTAACTCTTTCACACAGCTTATCTCTATCTTGCACCAACCATGCCCTTCTTTGCATTATCTTAACAGATCTTTTTCACTTGTTTTGCTAATTTTTTTTTAAAGAAAGACAAATTTACAGACTCAGAAAAAAATCTTCAGGAAGGATATATTAAAAAATGATTTAATCTCTAAAACTATAGCGTATGTAAGTAACATAACACAATTTAAAAATGAGCAAAGGACATGAAAAGGACATTAAAGACGACAGTGAAGCACCCAACATATGAAAAGACACTTGTATCATCATCCATCCATTGTTACGATGAGTTGGAATCAACTCATAGGTAACCCCCCAGCAGGTTTTCAGAGTACATAAATCACCTGGGAGGAGACTGTCCATCTATCTCTCAACAGAACAGCTGGTAGATTGGAACCATGTGCCCTTGGATAGTCATGTCAGTTCGCTCCTTACTACTAGTTCAAGAGGGCTCCCTCATTAGCCATTACTGAGATGCAAATCAAAACAATAATGAGGTATTATCTCACTCCTGTTAAAATGGTGGGGGGGTTGGGGGTGGTAGGGAGGAAAGGAAAAGAACCCAAAACCCAAAAACCCAGAAATCAATAAATGCTGGCAAGGATGCAGGGAGGAACCGTTACCCTAAACAGTATAATCACTCTGGAAAATGGTATGGCATGTCCTTTAAAGTAAAATTTAAGAATAAAAATAAACTACACTGATCTAACAATCTCACGTCCAGGCAGATAAACACCTAACCACCGAAAATCAGAAGAGACCACATGTAACAAGCTAAAATGGAACTTAAGAAGGTATTACAAACTTGGGAGAGACTAGAGAGCATTATGATGAGTGAACTAAGTCTACTAAGGACAAATTCTGCACAAGACCATTATAAAAACAGAAGAATAACTAGTAAAACATGTACCCAAGGGGGTAAGGAATGGAAGCAGAAGGGTGAGAATGGGTAAGGATAAAACCCTACAGGGTAAAACAGAGTTGCACAGTTTGGTGGGTGAAGGGAGAGTGTGAAGGAGATGGGAAGGATCCAGCAGGGACCTTAAAAAGATTGGGTCATGATAGGTAAGGTCCAATGGTGATTGTATAAATCATAATGCATGGAAATTATATGAAACACAGTATGAATGAGAATGATGTAAAACAAAATGTATACAAACTTTGTGAGCAAACCAATATAAAACAAGGAGGGGGGGGAAAGGTGTTATAGTCTGGTTTGTGTTCCCCCAAAACAAATTCTGAAATTCTACTTTCTATACCTGTCAACTTGACTCCAACTGAAATTAAGAGTTCTCTTTGATCGAATCCCCCTGGGGCTTGTAGCAAGTTGCCCTACTAAACCAAAGGCTTGTGTCTACAGCTGTTCAAATCCACCATCTGCTGACTACTGAGGAGAATGATAGTTGTCCTTTTTAAAATTTATAGCCTCAGAAAACCAATGGAGGATTACTATGAGTCAGAGGTAACTTGACAAAAAGTAAGAGAGTGCACTCGAGTGGTATATAAAAAAAAGGAACCAGGGTATATGCACATAGAAAGAACAGAACCTGTGAAGAACCATCTACATAGCAAGGAAAGGAAAAGAGCATTCACGGTTTCTAACGAGGAAGTCCTCCCTATCCCTGCCTCTGATTTGAATTTTCAGCTTCCAAAACTGTGAGGAAAATACTTCACTGTTCTTTAAACCTATTCACTTGTGTTCTCTTCGCATGGCAGCACTAGATGGATGACTAAGGCAGAATTAATAAATTGATTTATAGCCCAACTTTTCTTAATACAAAGAGAATAGTCATATTTATTATTAAATTTGTTAGTTTGCATTTTCCCAAAAGCAGAATTATTAGGTGAACAGTGTTCAGACCAGTTACATGGTACTTCAAAGAGGAAAAAGTAGCAGTAGATAGTGAAGCCAAAACAAATTTTTTTTTCCAGCTTCTCTGCATCTTTATTGAGAATTATCAGTAAGTAAATCAAGAAGAGAATTCATTGCAAATGAAGCCAAGCTCCTTCTATTGAAAACCTTCCTCCTGGCTCAGGAGGGAGAGGTCAGCAAATACCATGCAAGAATAGGGTAAACCCTTAAAAATTGCCATGGTGCCTCAGGGTGAATTCTAGCTTGAACCACACCTCCCCCACATCTTGAGATAGCATTCACTTTATAGTATTTAGTATTGGCTTCCTATACTCTTGGGTTTTATTGTCTATTCTGTTTGTCTATTATTTGACCATAAAGTGGCGGCTAGGAGTGTCTTCATTTAAGACTCTCTCAGAGCAATACCCTTAGGGTTTCTCTGTTGTTGTTGTTGTTGTTGTTGTTATGTTATGTTATGCCCTTGACTCATATCGACCCTATGTACAACAGACCCTATGTACAACAGCCCTAAACTCCCCTCTGTCCTGTGCCAATCCACTGTCTCTGACACTCCCATCCCAGTTATCACTGAATCAATCCACCTCATAGAGGGCCTTCCTCTCCTGCGTTGTCCCTCCACCCTCCCAAGCATGATGTCCCTCTCCAAGGACTGGTCTCTCCTCAAAACATGTCCAAAGTATGTTAGATGAAGCCTCAGAATCCTTGCCTCCAAGGAGCCACCCGATTTAACCCTTTCCAGGACAAATCTGTTTGTTTTCCTAGCAGCCCATGGTATTCTCAATACTCTTCTCCAGCACCACAGCTCAAAGGCATCAATTCTCCTTCTATCCTCCTTGGTCATTGTCCAACTCTCTGATGCATAACAGGTGATTGCGAAGACCATGGCCTGTATCAGATGCACCTTAGTCTCCAAAGAGACACCATTGCTCTTCAGCACTTTGGAGAGGTCCCGAACAGCAGACTTTCCCATTGCAATGCGCCTTTTAATTTCCTGGCTGCTGGTGCCAAGACTGTTGACTATGGAGCCAAGCAGACTGAAGTTGTTAACAATCTCAATCTCTTCACCATCCATCCTAATGCTGCCAATTGGTCCAGGGGTGAGAATTTTTGTCTTTTTTTTTTTTATGGGTGTAAACAAATATATTTCAGGGTTGTTTTTCCTTGCAACTTTTTTTTTTTTTTTTTTTTTTTCAAAACAAATTTCTTAATTATTAAAAATAAAAGCAATAGAACTTACTTGTACATCTCCAATGTTATCATCTTTTAGTTTATGTTCTTCTGAAGGAATGGGTAAATTTGAACCCACTTTTTTCAATAATTCAGCATTGTTAGGTCCCTCTCTTTCATCCTATATTGTAATACCAACAACAAAAAGGGATTAACTGAAAAAAATTATCTCACAAAACAGATCAAAACTTCTATTAAAATCCATCTTTTATAAAATTAAAATAATGTATTTAGCATCTATTCCTAATTATTTTTATTAAGTTACATGTTTATATCTATTTCCCTGCAAATCTTTCCTTAGTAATACAATTAAAATATATGCCACAAGAGCTCAAGAATCCTATTTGATTTCTTCATACACACTGAACTCCTATTTACACTACGTGTTAAGACATGGTAAAATTTCAGTAACTTTCTGATAAATGAATGAATGCTCAATCAGTATTTTTTTCTCATATCTCTCTTGGCACTTAGCCATTCAAACATCAATGTATCTTTTAAAGGTTTCTCCTAGGGTGTATGTTTCAGAAAAACAAAGTTTATAGCCATCTTTGTGCATCTGAGATTCTGTAATATACACAAGGTAATTATGTTCACTAAAAGAATGTTTTCCTCCCTAGAGCTTAAGTTCATTACCAATGCATTATTCTTCATATTTCTCAAATCAGATCAGATCACAAACTGTGAGTAAACTGTGAGAAAAGAGGCATAAAATAATGGTCTTTTTGTAAGAATGTGCAACAATAGTCTTCAAATTTTTAAATGTTCCATTCTAGAAATAAATCCTAAATAACTAACAATTGTACATAATCTACTCTTATTTATCACTTTTAACCAGTATTCCCAGTAATGAGCAATGCAAGAATATACATATATCTCATTTTAGTGTTCATACTCACAAAGATGAACATATATACACATAGACAGGCAGTAAACACAAAAGGACAGTAAGAAATAGTTAATAACTAATTATGCCATTCATTCAATGAGATAAAAATGAAGTTATTAAAAATACAGCAACACGGAAAGGCATCCATGGAATATCATTGTGAAAGTCAACTATAAGAGCATAGTGTCAAGCTGTCGAATATTTTTGGCGTTTTATTGAAAACAAAAATACTGTGCACTATAAAAAGGAACAGCAACAGTCACAGGAAAAGATCTGGAAGTTTATTCAAAAAAGTCAAGTGTCTCCTTTGACAAAGCAAATGGGATAAACACAAAAAATTTTGAAGTAAAAAATATTCTGTATTAAAACAATAAAATATTTTTCTTTAAGGAGGGAAGGGCACTGAACCTACCAGGGGGAAACCAAACTTAGTACATACCTTTTATTGATTTGAAATGATAAAACATTTGCAGTGCATAGTTAGTTCTAGACTGTGCGTATTTGCCCCACTTCATGATACGAAACAAACTACACAGTAGACTGCAGCCTTCACCAGTAACTTAGTTTCCAATAGTTTTTACTGAGAATTCTTTAGAAATCCTTGAACTTTATAAAGCTTAAAAGTCACTAGCTTTCAGATTCTTATAAGGTTCAAATTTTCTCCCTTCTGTAGGATTCAAGAGGTTACAGTATTCCAATGATAAGTAACAAAAACAGACATCTCCTATTTAATTAAAAGACTTATACCTGAGTAACTTCACAGAATATAGCAAGAAAAAATAGAAAACTCACCAAGAATTATGACCTAATTTTTTTTACTTTGTATTTATTTATTTATTCTTTTTCATTTGGTGTACCATCAAATCTGATCCGACTGACACAGAGGGAGTTTGCCCCTCCTTCTCCAGGAGATAATTATTCAGAACATTTTCAGACTTTAAAAGCTGACACAAAAATTACACTATCAAGTTTATTTAAAGTACCTTTTGCTGGAATTGTGTATCTTCATTTTCTAGTGCACAATTGTCATCTTGAGAGTAATATGATGAAGCTGAAGAACTCTCTTTACAACATACACGCCAAATGGGAAGCCTGTAAAAACCCACAATCACCACAAAAAAAAAGGGAAAATTAAGTCCAGTACTCCTTTGTAAGGTTTAGCTACCATTTGAAGCTGCAAACAGCACAAGATGGCTATCAGAACTTTACAACACAAAGGTATATTATTTAATGCTCGAAGAAAATTATAGTGTTAACATCATTTCAAGTTGTTAGAATAAATTACATAGAGGTATTAAAAAAATATCCACAGAAATAGTATCTGATAAATAAAAGGCATAGAGAAATCAAATGATCTAAACTACTCAAAGAGGACCATGTGCCAATAATATTCAATTTTATCAAATATTAAGAATAATAACTTTAAAGCTACCTCAATGGTTTCAAAGCATAGAAGTGTCCAAATTAATCTTATATTGAGAATACTGCTATCAAAAACTAACATGGACAAATGAAAATTACCTATCACTAGTATTCATGAGAGCAGATACAAAAGAAACAATAAGAATAAACTGACTTTAGAAATATATCAAAGGGATAATAAACCATAATTATGACCAAGTTTTTTTACCTGATACTAAAAAATGGTTCAATATATCTATTTGATTTGCCATGTAATACTATTAAGAAAAATATCTATGATTATCTCCAAGGCAATGGAAGGGTTTGGTTTTTTTAAAACTTTGGTGTGTGTTTTTTAATGGAAGCTTTTTTATATATTTACACATCCATCAAGGTATTTCAAATTACTAAAAGTAGATATTTAGCATGAGAAGCTTATAAATATAATAAAAAAGCCCCAAATCCAGTATTATACTTAGTAAACTAGAAAGCTTTTCAAAAGGATTCCTACTTACATATGAAATGAGACAAGAAAGTTCATTATCATTAAAGAAAACAGAAAAAGTAAAATTATCACTGTTTGCAGATAATGAGCTTACAGAGAGAATTAGAATCATTATTAAAAGAATTTCTAAGCTGAATATAAAATTAAGAAACTGAAATCAACATACAGTAATCAACATCACTCACTGACTGTAAGATTTAAGTCTCCATTTACAGTAGGAATTACCAAGTACAAATGTAGCAAGAAATGTTCTGTTTGAATTTTTTTCCCCCTTAAGAAAGGGTCCAGGCTCGATCACCATTTCTTAAGCTCAAGGGAACTAAAGAA